GACCAAATACTTAATTTCCACCATAATTTGCAAAAAAAATCTTTCCAAATCAGACAAAGTGATTGTCTGGATTTTTTTTTCTCAGTTTGTCTCTCATAGTTGAGGTCTACCTATGATGTCAATTGCAGGCCTCTCATCTTTTTAAGTGGGAGAACTTGCACAATTGGTGGCTGACTAAGTACTTTTTTGCCCCACTGTATGCACAGAACAAGCAAGAGGTTTCTTTAAGGTCTTGGTGTATTTTTAATGTGTCTGGTTTCTTTTGAATCCTTGGTAGAAAGATTTTATTGCCATGATAATTCAACAAACAAAGCTTCACAGGGCACAAAAGTCAATACATACTGCATATACTACTTGACAAACCACTCTTGACAGTGTTCTTTCTAGTTGACAAGCAGCCAAGTTTGTTGGACTGCCATATAGTTGTTTCTAACACTTTCATCAGACACTATGAATTACATAAACTTGCTTTAGAAGCAGAGTTCAGGAAATAAGCTTTGGTATTTGTTTCAATCCTTGTGTTTAATTGTTTCCCATATCCATAATCATTGCCCTTATGTCATCTCAGTTGAATAAAAATTGGGATATTGGAATCTTAATGCAAATATTATTTTTTGCTATTTAATGAAAGAGGTTTGTAAGCCCCACAATGTTTTGCAGAAGGCTGGTCTGCATGGAAAACTGAGGAACCATTATTTATTATACTCCATTATACTTTATGGAGAATTTTTAGAGTGGTCTGGTACTTTGGATTTGAAAGCACAAAGATCCTATAAAAGGTATAGCAGACTTGAATGTAGCACTTTTCTACAATTTCCTGAACTAAATGTGCTACTGTACCTGGTATTACAGTATCAAGAGGTAGTTTACATGATCTCTGGAAAAGTGCATGCAGCTGCTTTAAGAAATCATATGCTAGTAGAGTTTAGTATTTTTATTTGGTATTCACTTTTAACTAAGCAAAGCAGAGACCTATTTTTTTTATAACAACTTTGTCAGATGGGTTGAACTGAGAGCAAGTGAATGGCCCAAAGTGAGTCAGTGAACTTCCATGACTAAAGACAGATTTAAACCAGGGTCTTCCCTTTGCTTGTCTAATACTTTATTCATTACACCGCACTGGGTCCCCTTCTCGCTCTCCCTCTCCCTTCAATCTTCAATCTGAAGTGTTACAAATGTCTGCTTTTCTTTTGTTTCTACTGTGTTCTATATCTCTTCCCCTCACCTAGAAGACCATTAATGTAGATAGCTGAATTCTTACACTGAACCTGATTTGTAAGACTTCCTACTTTGACCTGGTAGAGATGTTATGTGTTTTATACAGTTAGTTTTTGCTTAACAACCATTCCAAGTTATGATAGCATCAAACAAATGATAGTTACAACTATTCCCAAAGTTACAGTCGTCGCAGTAGCCCTGCAATGATGCAATCAAAATTTGGGCACTTGCGGCCTACTGGCTTTTACAACCACAGAGTGCACTTCAACTGCCCCCGCTTGTCTGTTCATCCCAATCTATATCCTTTTGGCTGCCTATTCCTGCCGACCCACACTGGCTCATTTCAGTCCCAAACTATCCAATATTCCCATAGGCACCTCAATCTGCCTGCTGATGCTCTACAGGCCAGACACGACTCACTGTCTTCTTCCAGTGGCCATATGTAGTCTTGCAAAGGAGCTACTTGTTCCTTGGTGATGGCACCTCCTAGAAGACAAGCATTTGTGGTTTTGGATTATGACTCAGAATAGCTACAACCTAGGTCCTTTGTTAAGTGCAGTACTGGCACATCTTGGAGCTTGAAGGACCAGATTATTGCCATGCACCTTACATGGACCAGGCACGGGTGCTGCTTTCTTAGTACTGAAATGGGAGGGAGGGAGGAAGGAAGTTAGCTCAATCTCCTCATGTCTCCAGATTGTCTTGCCAGGCTGGTGACAGGGATGCCATTACTGAGTTTTCCTCAGGCTTTTATTCATGTGCAGTTCACCAAAAAGGAAATAGATAGCTAATTTGTACTACTATACATTATTTAAAGAATCTATGAATAATCTCAAATATTGAGGGCTGCAATACCTCCTCAGGACTTTATAACTTAGCTTTATTTCTTAAGGAAACAAAAGAGTTAAATGCTGACATAGAATTGTATAAAATTAAAACCAGCAAGAATAAAGGCTTTTGGGGATCAGTTCCCCCACTTCTTTTCTGTTCATAATTATAATCCATCATCATTTAGTGAAGCTAAGTGGGAGAAGAGTTTGGACGATTAAAAGACAGTACTATGAGGTCAGTTATTGTACCATGCAGTAATTACAACCTCTTACCTATGAGATTGAGGTAACTGTTTCTAATTGATACAAAAAATCAGAGTTGAAAATTCAGATGAATAAGTTGCCATCAATACCTTGATTCCTTTGTTTAGGTAAAGAATCATGGGACAATAGCAAAATATACAGTACTGTGCAAAAGTCTGCACAACCATTAGATCTGTTGTTACAGCAATGGTTTAATGACCATATAAAATTATGTCTTAAATCTCTTTATTAGAATACAACCAGACAATACAGGAAATTTTTATGCAATAGTGTGTGGAATGCAACGCTATATGCTGTCATTGCTAACACTTATAGGTGTCCTACCGTTTGATGCCAAAATGACTGCTGTACAAAAATGTCTATTAACACCAGGTTTGTGCAAGACATTCTTGCGAATTACATTTTACAAATATATGTTGTATGACTGTAATTCATTGGAAGCTTGCTAATAAGACAATTTTCAATCACATCATTCCAGTCAAAATGTCAAAGATCACAGGATGTGATAATGAAACCATATTTTTTGCAAGGCCACTCTCAAAACAAACTTGATATTCTAGATTTTATATTCAAGCTGTTATAAAGAAATTTGAGATCAAGAGAAGTCAAAGACAGAAAAAGGATTCGAAATCCAAGGAAACTTTGGAATTCTTATGAGAAGTTCCTCATAGTTTTTTCTTTGAGAGACTGGAAGAGTTAGCAAGGACCTGGCTCAGCATCTGGCAGCTTCATCAGGATGCCAAGTTGGCCCCTCTAAAATATGAGAAGCTTGATTGGGAATGGTTTTGATTGGGAAATGGAAGTGTAGCAACCAAAAAAAAAACACTTTTGTACAAGGGGAACAAGGTGAAAAGGCTAAGGCTGAGATGGCGAACCTTATGGCACGCGCTGGCAAGCTGAGTTCAGCCTTTTTAAAAGCCATTTTTCACCCCCCCCCCAGGCTCCAGAGGCTTTATAGGAGCCTGGGAAGTGCGAAAACAGCCTCCCACCCCGGAGGCTTCAGGAGCTTCCCTGAAGGCTCCGGAGTGCAAAAAAACTGCTCCTATGGGCAAACCGGAAGTTTGGGAACGGACTTCAGGTTTGCTCGTAGGCAATGTTCCCTCTAATTTTTTTTCAGTGTGTGCGGAAAAGTATAGTGTTCGAGCAGCACATTTTCATGCCTGAGCACCTGAATTTTTTTTAGCCATAATTGCCATCAGAGCAGATGTTGGGAGGAGGGCAAGGAGGAAAA